AAAAGAGAGAGATAGGTTATTTAGACAAGAAAACGCTTGCCTCCCTGCAGCTGTTCTATATACAACACAAGAAGAATATCATGGAGGTTAATGGCGAAGGGATCAGAAGAGAGGTAAAATGGGAAAGAGCATAAGAATTCGGGAATCAATCCAAGAACGATTTCTATCTAAATAACCATAAGCGGAGATCTGGTGACAGTGAACTAGACATGCAACAAAAAGGGAATACATCAGTAGCTATACACTATCCCCCATAAAAAAGTCTAAGTCCTTTCTTTCACCTCTTGAGATAAAATATTAATAGATAATTGGAGAGGGAGACCACAAGGAGTAAGTTATGTTTTCACAAAACTCTAGAGCAGAAGGGCACAAGGAGGAAGGACTTATACTGGGTGATGATGATACATGTCTATGAAAGAAACAGTTACAACGATTAGGTTCTGCTAATAAGAGCTGGGGCATAGAATTTAAGTTGAAGAAGAAAGAAACAAGAAATTATTGAACATGGAAAACAGACCTTGAGCCCTTGTTTTGAATGTGATACTTGGGGCTATGAAATGAATTATAATGATGAAAATCAGGATTCCTAAAATATTAATTCATAATCAAACCTTGTTTTTCCAAGAGTCCAGTAGGGACACTGATAGACTGAAAGAGCTTGAAGCATGTGATATAAAAGATGGGTGATTAACACATTCAACATTCTGTTTCACCACTAGGAATCCAACAGCGCGGCGATTCTTTTGTTTTCAAACTGGCAATCAGGACTATAATATGAAGGAAGAAAGAACAGGCTTGCAGGTATTTCAGGGACATTACTTAACTACTCAAGAAGCCCATAAGCTTTGAAGAATCAGTAAGGTCGGAGAAATGCTGTGTATAGGACTAATGCTGCTTGTGAATCGAAATGGCAGTTGATTTTCTGTTAACAGTTCAGTAGAGAAGTCTACTTTGAGAATTCCTATAGTTTTATGCATAATTCCTTTAATTCATCTTCCATTTGTAATAAAGATAAAAAAGGTTGTCAATAGAATGTAATATGATCTACGTTTCAATTGATTCAGCGCTAATTTTTGGACATTGTCCAAATTATCTATTATTTTTAACTTTTAAAAGCCAATCACTTATCTCAATTTTCAAAAAAGGAAAATCCCATTTAAATGAATTTAACCTAACTTTTTTTTTTTAAATTCTTAGAGATGATATTTTTACAAAATATTCGGATCGAGTAGAAACTAAATTTTATGTTTATTAATCAAATTATATTTTGGATATAACATTTATATTATAAGTGCATTTTATTATATACATATATAACTAGTTAAATGCCCACGCTTTTTGCGTGACTGTTATTATTATAACGTTGTATTTATAAATTTATTTAGATATACTTATTAAAATATAATTTTTCAACATGGATTACTCCATTAAATCTATTTAAATAATTATATATTATAATTAATTATGTCTAAATTTTAGCTTAAATTTTATAATTTAAAAATAATTTTAAATACCATATCGTTGTAATTGATAATTCTTATATTAGAATAAGTTGAATATGAATAAACATTTATTATATAAATATTATTTATAATTTAATTATTTAAATATTAAATTAATTGATTTATTATTAATTAAATATTAATTCTATAAAACATCGAAAAAATAAAAGAAAAATTAAAATTGATTCTATTAAATATTTTTAGGTTAATCTAAACATAATGTAACTAATCCCTGGGTTTTCCTTTAGGTAATTCTGCCTAAACGTAATAAATATAATTAATGAAAGAAAAATCGAAAGAAAATAAATAGAAAAGATGAATTACAATCTTAAAACTGAATTTCAAAGATTAACCAAATTCACACACAATAGCACTCAAAACAAATCAATTAAAACAAAAATTCAAAATTAATTTGCCCACAATCTCTTGACTCATGTTATAAACTGAAACTACCATGAATGGAAAATTAAAAAATGATTAGACAAAATATAAATTCAATAATTGAAGAAATTTGGAAAAAGAATAGAAGAGTTTAAAAGAAAAGGATAAAAGAGCAATAATGAAAGCAAAATGAAATCATATAAAGTACGAAGAAAATAGGTAATTTTATTCAATCAAAATACCGATGTGACTCTATCACATGACCACTTTTTACAATAACATAAATTTGAACCAAGAACTAAATTAAGATGGTTAAAGATGAAATCTCACTAAAACCTAAGTCAACATGAAGAATAAAAACCTAAAGAAAACTCAAAACTTTGCAACCTTTGAACTATGCTCGGGTTTTGCAAATTTCCCTACAAAATAAATATATAAAGGGTAAATAGTAAAGATAGAATAAAAAAGATTCAATTTAAAAGCAATTTTAATTATAAAGTTATACAATAACCGGATTTGCTTTATTTTCAAAAGATATATAGAAAAGATTTGCTTAAATTAGTTAATTTTATAATTTTCAAATAGAATCACCATATACCAAATTTAATTCTTTTAAAAAATATTTTTATAGGGCTAATCAAATTAAAGTAAAGAAAAAGAAAAAAAAGCTCAAAAAATTGTTGAAAAGAGAAAAAAGAAATTGGTGGGAAATAGAAATGCCAACTCAGCATATATTAAAATATGTTTTGATTCAGGAGTCTATAATATCTATAAATTTTTGTCAATATTTTTCTTTTTTTTTTAAATCAATAATAAGTGGTGACAATTAGGAAGAAAGAAAGATAATAAGAGGATCTCCATGTGGAATACCTTGTTTTTCATAATTCCAAATCAACCTAATAAATAGAGAGGGATTAACTAAATTGCTTCCCACATTATTAATAACTGTAAATAGAAAAATGCCTATAAATAATGTTTATTTATTTTTTTTTAATACCATCGCATCTTGACATCCCAACATAAATATTTATTTTAAAAAATTTTTTCTATTTTTCTGATATCGAAATTAAATAATAGTCTTGATATATGTTAACATCTTAGAGAAGATCTAATTCCTTATCAAGAATAAAAACAAAGATAATGAAGTTTTTTTTTTTCTTTTTTATTAAAAAGAAAAGAAATGCTCTGCTTCGCAGCCCAGTTTGACTGGCTGTCATAGAGAGAGGATAGTGAAGTTAGAGAGTAAAAGCAGCTCATTAGTCCTTATACCGTCTGCCATCGCGTTCATATTCAACTGATTCAGGTAGTTCTCTTCTGGAAATCTTTATTGTTGATTATACATAAACTTTAGTTCATATCTTAAATTAGGATAAGTATTTTTGTCTGATTAATACGATTGGAAAGGTGTGGTGAATGGATTCTCAGCTTCTGGTTGCTTAATCGGACCCAATTTCTTTAATGTAAACCATACTCGCCGTCTTCAAGTTTTTTCGATGCAAGTTTTGTGCTCCATTTGCAAAATTTGTCGACTCTTGTCTTTCATTTTCGTGGAGGTTAAACGAGTTCTTTTGGGTTGCTTCTCATTAACTTTTTATCTTTCTCTTGAATTTGCTGAACGTTTTGTGCAATTTCCATATTTTGGAAGAGAAAAAAGAACAAAGAAAAATCTTTTCTGTGATTTTTGGCGGGAAAGAATTATACGGGCAAATGAAATTGGGGGAATTTTTGTTTCAATAGAATGAGACCTATTTCTTAACCTGAAGGTCTTCGGTATCGGATATGTTCAGATGTAATTAATGTAACTGTTAATATTAATTTTTATTAAGTGTTTGTGTTTTTCCTTGAACGAGGAATAGAATTTGAACCAGAATAAGTTGCGCAAATGAAGTCTTATCAGTTGTCAAGAAACTCAAGTCGTACTGAGGTTGAGAAGGCCTTAAAGCTCGTCCTCGAAATAAGAATTTCTTTTCAATTTTTCTCCAAGTATTGTAAGCTTTTTATTTTATCTCTTCAACATACTCCTCTTTTGGAAGGAAACTCTTTTTTCTTGTTTTTTTTCCCCAATTAATTTTTCATTATATAGATGTTTGATTTGTGATTTCCTTATAATTTTCAGGTACCCCCATTGTTTGACGGATGTAGAGCGGCAGCAGAGGTGGAAGCTGCTGTTAAAGAGTTGGTGTCTTCTAATTAATTATTTTTTATTGTTGTTTCTGTTCTTTGAAAATTATATGACGCCAATTTCACTTTTCCATCTTGGTCCTTTTTTTCTTTTAAACTGTCTACCACCAGTGAGAACTCTTCATTCATCTAATCACATTTCCTATGGATGAGGCCAGAAAATGACTATTTATAATGTTTGTCCTTGTAGTTATACCACAAGATTTGAACAAAGTATAATTTGGAGAAGATTGGTTGAGGATTGTATCTGAGCCTTCCTGAACCCAGAGGCATCTTTCCTCAAACTTATATTTGAATACAAAAAAATTTTCTTGATAGTTGCCCTTCCTTAGCTGCTGTACTGAAATGAAATATTTACTGTGGTACTCTTTTTTTTTTTTTTTTGGCCCACTAAATATGCTTGGATGCGGCTGTTAGGGAAGCATTTGATGTGGCCTATGATAACATTTATGCAATTTCATCTTGCTCAAAACAAGCTGTGACAAAATAGTGTTGTAAAATACATGCCAAGTTGGAGTCTTCTAGTTTTTATTGGTTTTTTAACCTTAAAATGTTTATGGAGTAGTGAGACTTAGTTATGCTGCAGAAATTTTTTAGGGTGTTAAGACTGCGACCAAAGGGTGCCCAAGGCTGCAATTCTCTTCTGTAGGTCTTTATGTTTCCTGGGGGAACGCAGTTTTACCTTCAAACAGCTCTGATGCTATCAGTTTGTAAGTTGATTTTGGATTTATTGTATTAATCCTTTTTGTATGTATAATACCCTATACGCTTTATATAATTAATTTTAGATTTCTGCCTGACATCATTTGACTTGAAATTTTCTTGTTTTTCCACAAACCAGCCTGCCACAGAATTGCTGGGTGTAAAGACCATTGTTATGCAACTATCCTCCAGGTCAGGATGAGAAGCATATGCAATGGTAACTATAATCCAATTTCAAATGTTCTTATGCAGAGTCGTCTCTTACTGAGAATCATTTCAACCCACACCGTAATTTTAGAGTTCCTTGAAAGGGAGAAGGGCTTTTGAGAATAAAAAAAAATGAACACAAACTTATCCACAGATATTTTGATTTTATGTAGAGGTACTGTACTGTGCCAAGAAGGCTGGTGTTACTCACATCCTTAAAGTGGCTGGACGCCCTCAAAGGTTTTCGGTTTCAAAAACATTCAACAACAGACGTGGTGGTAAATTTGAATCTTCTATTCTGTCCTTAGAATTTATGTTATGGATTCCTTAATTTGCAGGCATTATCAGCCCATGGCTTGGGGACAGAATCCTGCCCTAAGGGTAATGGATTTCATATTTGCTAACAATTTCATATCGAAGCTTATTGAAATATTTTATTGATCTCATTTTCCTTGGTGATATGTGCGCTTGTGGTATTCTATTTTTAGTTTTAATTAAATCTGAGAAGTATCCTGCTGCTCTTTTGGAATTTATAAATAAACAAAAATGTGGCAATTGAAAGTATGAACTGACCACTTAAATGTACTGCCCATTTTGTTTCTGACCAAAATATAAATCTCAGTCTCCAACTTGAAAATAACTATGGAACATATGAAAAATTAAATACAAAACAATTACCCAAAAAACACTTATGTTACTCAAATTTGACAGATTCAATGCCAATATAATCTAAGAAGTCTTTTTGGTAAAATTATTAAGAGTTGATTAATAAAGAATTTTCTGTCTTCCTCTCCTAAATTGCTGCTATGTCTCATTGATGTGGAGATATTATGTATTATCCCTAGTTCCCACTGAAAATAACAATGAAACTTTTGGAAAAAATATTAAAGTTTTATTTCAAAAACGTATACACTGTTTCGAGTTGAGCATTAATTCCCTTAGTGTCCTTCGCTTGGACAAGGGATTGTTAAAACCACTTAAACAAGGGGAATATCAATATCGATATCTGCTTCTGGAAAAAAATCTAAACATAAAATTTGGATTAAACTAATATACAATACTTAATTTATCGTTTTGTTAACTTAGGAATCTGTTGTCAAATTTTAACCTTCATTACAAGGACTTGATTTATTAATAATGTTGCAGGTTGAGAAGATTTTTGGACCGGGAAAATCAGTATTTTACAAGCTTGCCAAAATGATACTCCAAGTATGGATTTTTGTTTTCAAAATTTTTCAAGTAATAAACTACTTTTATATTGGTGGACAGTAGTCCTACCCTACAGAAATTTTTTTTTTTTTTTTTTTTTTTTTGTTGAAGTGGCTGTGCTACTTTAAAAAAATTAAATTATTGCAATTGCATTGTGAATGAAAGAAGAATATTTTAACAATTAGCTGCAAGACTTATAGTATTTGAAATGCTTTACCTTCTAGTATGGTGTTAAACAGAACTTATTTCTTGATTTAACTTCCATTTCCTCTTTGTTTTTATTTTCCCAACAGAACAGTGAAAGCAATGATCTCGATTTGACATGCCAAGCTGGACCTTCAGAAGTTTTAGTTATTGCTTGACAACATGCCCAGTCCCTGTTCATATAGCTGCAGATTTACTATCCCAGGTGCTGTGCCTTTGGCTTTTAGTAAGTATTATATCATGCTTTAAAAGTGCCATTTCTGGTGAAGCCACATGCATTAGTTCCTGGATAAACAAGCCTAAGGCTTCCTCACCGATGATAATGAACAATATTGATCCGAGTGACGAAATTCCAACTTGTTTTCAGCTCTGCACCTGAATTCCTTCTTTTTTTAATGTGATGTAGTTTATATCACTAATGATAGACTTGTTTTTAAAACCAAAAAGCCCAAAAATTCAATTTTTCATATTCCTGAGAAGAGAAAAATGTACTAGTTTTATGGTTGAGCATTCTGTTGGTTCAGGTACGAAACAATGCAAATTGGATAGAAACCAACTTTTTTTTTTTAAAAAAAAAAAAAAAAAAAAAAGAAAACCAATCGAAACTGATTTGGTTTTTTAAACGATTTTTTTATGTGTGTTGGCTTACTTTTTTAGTTTTTTTTTTTAAAAAAAAAAAAAAAAAAAAAAGAAAACCAAATCGAAACTGAATTTGTTTTTTAACGATTTTTTATGTGGTTGGCTTACTTTTTAGGTTTAATAAAAATTAAATCGAACCAAAAAATTTCAGTTTCTATATTAAAATGTAAATAAAAACCAATTATCTAAAATCCTGAACCAACCACCAGTCCGTTCGGTTATAACTGAACTGTGCTCTGGCCTAATTATTTTAGCAGATCTTTTAGCCACATCAAATTTTATACCTGTTCCCATAATGTGATATTTCTAATTCAGCATTATTTCACCTAGTGGATTTTAGTTTGTGTTACTGAATTAATTGCACACTAGAAATGTAATGATCATTGATTGGAAGATCCGGTGGATGTATTTCATCAGTTTACCACTCAGCTGACAACACTATTGTTTCTTCTTGTTGTTTTGTCAAATTTGTTGGCCCATGATCTCTCCTTGATTATCTTAAATCGATATTTGTATTAAGACCATTTTTCAAGCCTTAACCAGTCATTTCTACAGTACATCAGTTAAACTGCATAGAAATTGCTTATTGCTTTCAGGACATATCCGGGTTCCAACCTACCTGATGTTATCAAAATTATTTGCATCTTTCAGGCTGAGCATGGTCCTGATAGCCAGGTTGTCCTTGTAATTGTTGGGGATGGTGTGGATCTGAAAGCTATTGAAGAGGAAATCAGCAAGCAATGTCAGAGTCTACCAAGGGGAGAATACGCATCAAAAGCCCTGAGCCATAGTTTCACCGTCTTTGCTCGTGACATGGTTGAGGTTAGCCCTCTTCTTCCGTCAAAACACTCAAGCCTAAGCTTGTTTTATCTGCATTATCACAGTCTGTATTTGAGGCATAAGATTGGATGGTTAGTAGGTATCAAGGGCATAAAAATATACTTGTCTTGATGTCCCAACTGCTGATACTGGCCAGCTAGGCTAATCAAATCAAACATGAAAAAAGGGTTTTGTGGATATCTAATCTGTTCACCAGTTGCTGCCTATACGCTTTGATTACTGATTTTCACTGCTGTAACTGTGAAAACACCTGCTGGATTCTGCAGGCAATTTCTTTTTCAAACTTATATGCACCTGAGCATCTGATTGTTAATGTAAAAGACGCAGAAAAGTGGGAGAGTTTTATTGAAAATGCAGGTATGATCTTACGATGCTGTTTATATGTTGGATTATATTATTTGTGCTTTCATAATTGTTAATTTACTATTATGCCATTTATCCCATTATAGTTGCCAATTTCTGAGGCATTGTTTTAGTTCTCTAGTAATTGTTACGACAGTGATCGCCCCACAAGAAAAGTGGGAAAGAACACTCGAGGCATACGAGTGCAACCAAGCCTCAATCTCTATAGAATAAACAATTGCACCCTTGTTTGGTATAAATAAACCAGGAATATACAATTTACCTATAAACATGGAATTTAGTTTGTCGTACTGAATTCTATAAAATTAAATCATACAAACGATATGAACATTTTAATTTGAGTCGAGCACGAAACATTAAATTTGAAAGTTTTGTGAAGTTTATTTATACAGAATAGAGCTTAAGTTTAAACTTTGATTATCATAAACTATAGGTTCGGTCTTCATGGGCCAGTGGACACCAGAGAGTGTTGGAGATTACGCAAGCGGGACAAACCATGTCCTGCCAACATATGGATATGCAAGGATGTATGGAGGAGTGTCCTTAGATTCTTTCCTTAAGTACATGACTGTACAGTCTTTGACGGAGGAAGGTCTGAAAAATCTAGGTCCATATGTGGCAACAATGGCAGAAGTTGAAGGTCTGGAAGCGCACAAGAGAGCTGTAACTCTAAGACTTGCAGATATTGAAGCCAGGAAAGTTCAAAATGTGAGATGATATAAATACGTTAAGCTATATATGATCTCACATTTAGCATTCAAAATGAGTTGTGAAATGGTAATATTGCCTCTTCCTAGCTTTTTACCAGCATTTGAGCTATTTTTGTAACTGATTTACGATTGGTACTATAATGTTATTCCATGTGTCCGGCAATAGATGGAACTGGAAGTTATTAAATTCCCCTGCACTAGAATTATTGATTCTGGAATTTTTTTGTTTTTTGGCAGTATTTAATTTCTACCAAAAAAGGAAAGTCATTTTCCTTGTCAGCTTTCCGGTGTTCCGGTGGACATAGTGGAAGTCACTTTCTTATTGCACAAATCAAAATCAAGAAATTTTGATGTTACTAAATTAAATTCAAATTGAATGCAAGACACGGTGATATGATGCTGGCTACAGTTAAGAGACCAGAGTGAAATTTAAGCCACAAAATAATTAAGGACGGAGAAAATTGTCTCTACTATAAATTCTCGTACATTAATTCTTTCACTGAACTTCCCTTGGTACCACTATCACATTGTACCATATCTGCTTAAGACAATTTATCATATCCATTGCATCTGTATCCCTTCCATAGAGAAGTTCGAATTTTCTAAAATATGATAACATAGGCATGGATTCGATCAGTGAAAAACCACAGCTATGCAGGAGATATCATCCATGCTTCCCCTGACTAATGCTTCATCTATCAACTTCTCTGATGCTTCTTGCGCATCTTCCAAGCCTGCAATGCACTCACAAGCCTCCTGGTTTGACATCACCTGCATAAATATGGTGAGGAATGAGAAGTGAACTGCATACTCAAATTTGTAGTTTTATGTAAGGCTCCAAGTATGGTTTCAACTTTGTAATTAAAGGTGTACATGATTCAGTTTGATTCAACTTCAGAGACGTTCAAACTTAACCAACCAAATCAGTTTGGGGGGACGAAAAAATTCAAACCAGACCAAATTGTCAACAGTAGTGAAACCCATCAAACCATAGATTAATAACTTGGTTCAGTTTGGATGGTTTGTTCAAATCTAACTTGCAACCTCTTCGCCTTGGGGTAATTCTCACTAAGCCAAAACACATTGATAAGGTCATAATTAGTAATGAGTTTTTTAACAAATAAAAGATCTTCAACGGCTTTTACCTTCCACAGGCCATCACTTGCCAAAATGAGGAATTCAGCATCCTCGTCTATGATCTCAGTTATCACATCTGTTTCAGAAGTAATATGTTCCTTTAGTCTCCCGTCTCCAAATGCCCTTGTCATTGCCAACTGCCCATCCACGCGAGGAACACTTCCTGAGTCATCAGAAAAATAATTAGCTCATCGCGTTTATGCAACAGTTTCAATATTTGAATTACAAACTTAAATCATACTAAATAATAACTTCACCTGGCTCTTTAGACACAAATCCTCCTCTGCTCTCAACAAGATCTTTCTCTTTCTGGGGCTCATGATCTACTGATAACTGCTTTGCAACACCGTTTCTACACAAGACTGCTCTGGAGTCGCCAACATTTGCCACAATTAGATTTTCCTCATCTATTAGAATTGCAGTAACTGCTGTTGAACCTCCTCTTGAACCAACTATTCCATCCAAAATCTCATTATCGGTAGCCTTGTATGCTTTCCTGATTGCACGCTCAGGGTTCTTCCAGAAATCAGACTAAGCATGAGATATAATAAAGAAAAGAAGAATTTCAGTCACAGATCCTTAGTTAACAATTCCACAAAATAAATGGGAGAAACGTTCTTTTTCCTCAAGATTGAGATGGTTTAGAAGGATTAAAGTACAAGCAAAGACAAAAATTGTAAGAGTTAAAGAAAAAAAAGAGAAGCCATTAAAAATGAATGAAAAGGATTGAATAATATATGATGCAATTAGGCCCTAATTCATAATATGACAAATCGAAAAAAAAAAAAAAAAAAAAAAAAAAAAAAAAAAAAAAAAAAAAAAAAAAAAAAAAAAAAAAAAAAAAAAAAAAAAAAAAAAAAAAATAAAAAAAAAATCCCCCCTCATTTTCACTCCCCACCCAAAAAAAAAAAAACATCACACGAAAGAAAAAAACAAAAACAAGGTTAATGAAGCTAGCATTCTGTATTTTCCTCCCCCCCAAAAAAAAAAAACATCACACGAAATAGAAAAACAAAAACAAGGTTAATGAAGCTAGCATTCTGTTCATACCTCGTTCAATAAGTTATCGAATAGGTGGGATTGCAAGTATTTGGCAACATCAAGACCAGAGTGGCCATCAAAAATTGCATATAGCCCTAACCTGTAACCATTGATTTCTCTACTTTCTGCCACTAAATAATCTTCCATTCCATGCCCCATTTTTCCTCTAACCATATGGTACCCGTGGCTGGTGCTTTCACTTGAAGGCTCCTTCTCCTCTTCCTCTTCTTCATTTTCACGTTGGCCGGAAGAGCGATCACCCTTCATGTATTTATGCACCATAGATGTAAGAATTTAGAAGTGATACATATCCACCTCAAAGAGAATTTTAAAAACTTAACACTCAGTTCCTCTATAGAGCCTAATTTCACAAAGTTCCATTCCATTTTGTTTTTTTTTAAAAAATCCAGATTTGTCATGTTCAACAGAAATAAAAATTTTATTCAAAATTTTTATCTTTAATCTGTATAATCAGTTGGCGTTTAAATCAAATCTTACTATAAAAAGAATTGCAAATAAATTCGAAATTAAAAAGCTTACGATCTTTTAAAGCTACAAAATAAAATGAATTCTACATTCAATGCAGGAATAAGATACCAAACATGAAATCGATTTATAAATGGTTCTTTCCAAAGCATAATATGTTAAAATTTTCCAATATTTACAAAAGGAAAAGAAATAGGGACTAATTTCCGTTGGCAGTTCTTGTTCTTGTTTTGTTTTTTTCCACAATTTATTCCACACATATAAAGTAGCAACAAATTCAGAAGGTAAATACCTTACTTGTGAAAGAATCCTGATCTCTCACTTCAATTAATCTCTTCTTCTTCTAAACACATAAATAAAACTTTGGCAATGATCTCAATTGGAAAATTAAGGAAAAAAAAAAGCATTCTTCATAAATTAGAAAATAAGAACAATAACTAACATAAGAATTAAATAGGGTAAAAAAAAAACCCCTAGTTTGTATTTACCATGAATGGGGATTTCATCATTAGCCAAAAACAAAAGCAAACAAGAACATGATAATACTATACCTCCGGAACAAAGGAATTCCCATCATTTCTCAAGATTGGTGATATTCTCTGCATATAATTGTATATATGGGATGGCAATAAGAAAATAATAGTGTTAGTGTGTGTATAGAGAGAGAGAGAGAGCAGTATTATATTTCTCAACTGAAATTCATCCAATTCAAATTATCAAACTTTCACACACACACACACACGCACATATCAAGAATTTAATTGAATTTATAAACTGTGTAATCTAATGGAAGCCAAGAAATAGTGATTGAGAACTAAATAAATTAAAAAATTAATGAATTGAAATATTAAAAGAACATATAAATCATTCGCATTCCAATATATCACAAAAAAGAAAACGGGATTAAATTAGCTATGAAGAGAGACAAGAAGCGAGTTACATAAAGGCATTGTTTCAAACACTTGGTAGACGTGTGCTAATATAGCAAGAACGGACAGTAATACCGTTACCTTCATCCTTTCAACAGTCGTTTGTCTATGAGAGTTCAATTGGGGCAATTCAATTAATATAAGATTGAAGAAACACTTGGTAATTACTAGCAATGTCTTGAAGATTAAAATTGCAGAATTACATTAACCCCAAAAAAAAGCTGCCGAATTACAAGCGATTTCTCTTTAAAAATATTTATAGAATGTTGGCAAGAACAGTAGAATACAGGTGTCTGCTGTGCCTTTGAGACAACAAATATATTGCAGCGGTGGTAAGGACGGAAGAGTGAAGACACGTGCTCATACGGTTGCTATCGGCGGGCATGTCACCGCTTCACCGGAGTCTGCCCAGTGGCAGCTATCTACCACGGCATTGCCTTTTCTTTTTATTTCTATCCTTATTTCATAAGTTCTGATTTAATTAGATTTTTGTTTGAATTTTGACTCGAAGGCTCATGTTACCGACAGGATTTCATTTCGATAACTCTTACTAACCATTAACTAAGAAAAATAAAATAAAATAAAATAAAATAAAAATAATATAAAAATCTCTATTTAAATCAGTTTGGTCCGCAAATGAATTGCAAAATTTCGAAATAGATTTTGTACATTTTTACTGAATAACGAAATAACTTATAAATATTAGAGAATTTATTCGATACATCCAATCTAATTCATTACATTTTCGATCTTATTTGTATATATTTATATTCTTTCATGTAATTTTATATGTAAAATTATAATTTGATTCTTCTTTTCGTTTCCTTTAAAATACAAAATGGAGAAAAGAAATTTCAGATAAAATTTGTTAAAATGTATTATAAATTCTTGTTTTTTTAATTGTCCATTAGTAGAGATAAAATATTACATAGCTTGCAGGCCAATAAGTATTAAGTGAACACCCTCATATTAATTGTTTGGTAATAGTAAATTTTTCTAGAACTTGGCTCGAATTTGAGAAATGACATTCTCGTCAACCTGAAAAGACTTGGCAAGAATATCACTAGAAATATTATGGTTTGATCCAAACACTGCCTGGGGGATGAGAAGGAACCCTGGGCTTTGGCTACTAAAAGCAACAATACCAGCAGTATTACTCTTTCCAGGGTTTCTTGCATAATGGATAAGACCAGGAGGGACGACGAACACATCACCCTTATTAAGGACCTTTGAGATCAGACGATTGTCTGGAAGAGAAGTCACAAACCCCATTTCTAGGGTACCCTCCAGAATGGTCACAACTTCAGTAGCCCTTGGATGTATGTGTGGAGAGCTAACACCCAATGGTGCAAAATCTACACGAGCCAAAGAGATCCCAAGAGTGTTTAAACCTGGTAACTGAGATGCTGTAAGTATGTTAGACCCTAAACCAAATGGGTTTGATGTGTTGGTAGGTAAATGAAGCCCAGCAAAAAAGAAATCATCTGCTTGAACTTCCTTTGGGTCCTTGCATGGAAAACCATTCACTCGTACTGCAATAAGGAAAGTGAAGCAACTCAGTCAGATTTCTGTTAATTTGAATGTTTCATATTCAAATTCTATGAAATGAGATGAAGGGTTTTTGTTGAGTTGGGAGAGTTAGCTAGGCTCAAATTGAAGTTAAAATTTGTAATTTCAAGTTTCTGAAAATTCCATTAATTGTTAAGATGATTACTTTGTGTCGAATAGTAGTTGCAGCAAAAAAAAAAAAAAAAAAAAAAAAATCAAATTGAAAGTTGAAAATTTGTAATTTTCAGTTTCTGAAAATTCCATTTAATTGGTTGTTAGGATGATACTTTTGTTCGAAATAGTATGTTGCAGGCAAAAAAAAAAAAAAAAAGAAAAAAAAAATGAACCCATTACACCTTTTGCTGTAAAATTAAGATGTGTTAAAAAATGGGTTTTCGCTAAACGTCCGATTTTGACAGAAACCTAATGACATGATATGACCTAAAGATGAATACGAACGATCTATTTAACAAATTAATCAGTCAAATTTTAAATAGCGAAGCACATTTCTAAAAAAAAAAAAAAAAAAAAAAAAAAAAAAATGAACCCATACCCTTTTGCTGAAAATTAAATGTGTTAAAATGGGTTCGCAACGTCGAATTTGACATGAATTCACCTAATACATGATATGACTAAGATGAATACGAAAACGATCTATTTAACAAATTAATCATGTCAAATATTTAAATACGAACACATTTCAAAAATTAAATGAATGATATGAACTCGATACGTATAATCCGTTTAATTTAATGGGTTGGGTCAAAAAAGATAATTAGTTTAATTGAGTGTGTTGTATACAGGTCGGAAAATCCGACATGTATAACCGGTATAACCCGCTTGATATATATATATATATATGAAATTACCATTTTACCCTTAATTAAATGGGTTAGATGGGTTATGCGAATCAACTCATGATACAACACATTCAAACTCATGCAATGTATGAGCCATCCGTTTATGAGATGAACCCATTTAGATTCAATTTTAACCCAGTTAATTTCCGTATGAGGTGAATCGTGCTCTTGTGTAATTATTTTTGGCTTACTTTTTATATTATCAAATCAAAAGCAATTAGAAACTAATTAAAATATTTTAACTTCTCTACGGAATAGAAATTAGCAATAAGTGAAAATGGCTTACCTTGACCAGTTATATCTGCCACACAAAAATCTTGAAGAGGACTGTTATCGAATGCAAAAGTAGGATTGCAAACTAAAGCAATTAAGAGTAGAAATAATAACAGAGCTTTGGAAGCCATGATTAATGAAAATTACAAACAAAAGTATAGCTTCTTAGTTCCGCTATAATATATTCAATTTATTAAGTAAAGAAATTGTGTTTTTAACTTAGAATTGAGTTACATATATTTATATGTAAATTACATATCCTTAATATAGGATATGTAAGTTACATGTAACTTAATATAGGATTCCTATATTAATATGCAACGTACATATAAACATGTGTTGCTCGCCAAGGCTCCATCAAGTTTCTGTTATTAGTTGTAAAGTCATACCAGATTCTTTTAAACTTGTGGTGTGAGAGAAAGATTAGTTAATCTTCTAACTTAGAGATTTTAAAAGTAAGGATAAACTACCAAAGAATGACCACATGGATGTGAGTTGTGTGCTGTAGAGCTAACTAATAGCAAAATAAACAACAAACTAACAGATTTTGGATGACTATAATTGACAAAGAAAAATAAATCTAAAGTTGTAATTGACAAAATCAAACGTATTGGCTAAATTTGCCAAAAACGTCAAAATTTAGGTTTTTTTTTTTTTGGTGATTTAGCCATTAAGTAACTAGGTAACCTATACTAATATAGAAATCCTATATTGAGTTATATGTACTCATATATCTAATATTATGTTACACATCCTATATTAATTACTAGTAATTAAGTACAATTAATATGTAGTTACTAAGCAAGAAAAATTTTTGTAGATAGTAATTAATATGTAATCCTATATATATTAGGTTTACCTATTTATTATGGTCATAATTCATGTTTGACTACAATTAACTTGTTTATTATAAATTTTAATTTCTTTAGATAAAAAGCTTAATACTGTCAAAGAGTGTGTGTGTGTGTGTGATCTTTTCCTTTTCCAATTGTTAAACTATGATACTATCAATGAAAATACCAAAAATATCGAAAAAAGAGACATCGCAATTGTGGCAAAAAAGAAATTTATATTCTAATCTTACTTTATTAACATAAATGATTTTTTATTTTTCAACTATCTATTTTTCAAGCATGAAGAAGAAACAGGTGGATTAATTTCTCTTATTTTGGTATAATTCTACAAGATTGTTTTCTTGTTATGCAAGAGTTTAGTCAACGCTTTATTGTGTTTTCAAGAGATCAGCGAATCGGATCACTCACGCTCTAGCTAATACGATGAGTAGATTGATTCTATGCATGAAAGTTAGTGGGAAATTTTGTATTGTAACATCGTCGTCACCCACAATTCTTCCTTCAGCGAAAAACAGAAAAAAAGTGAATCCATTTTTATCATTTTGTTCATAACATTTGTTGGAAATATTGTGTATTTCAATTTAATTAGGTCCTACATTAATGTTTTATGATCTTCAGAGTTGAATGTAAATTTGAAATGCTCAATCATTTCAAAGAACTAATCTTTGTGTGCTTTTTTTTTTAATAAGCTTGCACAGGAACGAAAGATGGATAACCAATAGATAACTTTAGAATGTTAAAACTTAAATTGGACAAGGGTAAAATGAAGAGATTTTCAGCCACGCCAACCACGGAACAATGACGGCAACAAAGGTGATGAGAGCAATGATAATAAAAACGATGAGAGTAATGGCGATGGCAACAAAAGCGACGATAATGATGACCATAACAAAAATGAATAATAAATGAATAATAAAAATGATATTATTTTAATATTTAAAGTTAAACTGATATTTTTTAAAATAAAATTTGAAGATATGATATTTATACAATATCTCTTAAAATATTTATCTTTCCTAATTTACATCATAATCAAACAAGGTAGAATTTTTATAAAGACATTCACCAATATAACTTACACCTTAATGGGCTAGAGATCCATTTTCCGCATTCTAAGGCCTTACGTTTCAGACCAACGTTAATAATGACCAAGGTTTTTTTAAAACAAAATTTACATGTTTTTGGGTCTTTAAAATAGAAAAAACAAATCTCAAAAATATGTAAAAATAGAAAAAAAATCTCAAGAATTTGTAAAAATAGGAAAAAACATAAAGCAGATCCAATAGAGTTGAGCGTATGTGTATTCATATATACAATAGATTCAGAAAAATCTATTCATAGCGTTCATGTGGAAATATGTAAGATTTGGATGAAAAAAGAGAGAGAAAATAGGTGCTTTAGATCTGTATAGAGAGTTTGATTCCCTTTTGTATAAAGGCAAAAAGACCTTAATTAAAGTTATAGTTGAAATCTTTGTCGGATATGTATTTAGAAGAATACTAATTGAGTAGGTATTTTGGAGTCATCGACCTTCAAAATGAAGGTCATTTGTCTTCGTATGAAAAATTAATGTTAAAATTGATTCTTTTTTTTGTGTAAACCACCAGTATCCAGACTCTATTACTAGGGACTAACTAAATCTAGCTCGGAGTTTAGTCATAGTTAAAACTTTTCACCTCTTCTTGCTGAAGTGTTTAGTGGGGATCGAATCCGAAAACTCTTCCCAAAAATTGATGCTTTTGGAATGGAAGGATTAAGTAATTTAAGAGTCAAAGGTTAGGGATAAATCAATTATTTAGTGAAAGAAAAGTACATGAGGACTAATATTAATTAAATTCAAATCTTAGGCTCTAAATCAAATATATAAAGTTAACTATATATATTCCATCTATTTTTTAATTTATTAGGAGGCTAGTTAAACCAAAATAATATTATGAGCTATACAACAGAAGATGCTCAATAGACCAAAATAACACTACAGATTACACAATATGAATAACTCTCTTTTGAACTCATCAAATTGGTGAAAACAATTGTAATCGAGTGAATATATATTCAACCCATTAAACTCTCTTCAAACCTCTCTTTTAATATAAAGGATATAATAATTGAAGTTTGTATTGTAAATTCTTAATTTGAATTGTGCAATAGACATTTTATTTTAAAGTTTAAACTCGTTGTAAAATAGATATAATTTAGGAAAAGATAAAACATTAATCAGAAACTTATAAGCTAATAATATTAAGCAAGCACCCTCACATTGTTTGACAATTCATAGCCACTCTAGCTAATTTTCCTAAAACTTGGCTTTAATCTGAGAAATAATGTTCTCGTCAACTTGAAAAGACTTGGCAAGAATATCACTAGAAATATTAGGGTTTGACCCAAACACTGCCTGGGGGATGAGAAGGAACCCTGGGCTTTGGCTACTAAAAGCAACAATACAAGCAGTATTACTCTTTCCAGGGTTTCTTGCATAATGGATAAGACCAGGAGGGACGACGAACACATCACCCTTATTAAGGACCTTTGAGATCAGACGGTTGTCTGGAAGAGAAGTCACAAATCCCATTTCTAGGGTACCCTCCAAAATGGTCACAACTTCAGTAGCCCTTGGATGTATGTGTGGAGAGCTAACACCCGATGGTGCGAAATCTACACGAGCCAAAGAGATCCCAAGAGTGTTTAGACCTGGTAATCGAGTCGCTGTGATTATGTTAGACCCTAAACCAGATGGGTTCGATGTGTTGGTAGGTAAATGAAGCCCAGTAAAGAAGAAATCATTTGCTTGAACTTGCTTCGGGTCCTTGCATGGAAAGCCATTCACTCTTACTGCAATGAGGAAAGTGAAGCAACTCAGTCATTTTTTCCATTAATCTGAATGTTTCAGATGCAAAAGCAATTAGAAACTAATAAAATTTTAATTTCTCTATGTAATAGAAATTAGCAGTAAGGGTACATGGATTACCTTGACCAGTTGTATCTGCCACACAAAAATCTTGAAGAGGACTATTATCGAATGCAAAAGCAAGAGTGCAAATTGAAGCAAATAAGAGTACGGATAATAGCATTTTGGAAGCCATGACTAATGAGAAGAAACAAAAGTATGGTTTCTTAGTTCCTCTATATTCAAATTATAGGAGCAACACATGATCTTCGTATTTAATTTGTCTTAATTCTCATAATCCCACATTAGAAAGTTTTATAGCTCTTTCCTTTTTCTTACATATTTGATATAGATATAATAGATATATATGGATATACAAACTTAATATGGATATGATATAGATATAATAGATATATATGGATATACAAACTTAATATGGAGATATGATATAGATATAATAGATATATATGGATATACAAACTTAATATGGATATAATAGATATAATAGATATATATGGATACACAAACTTAATATGGATATAATAGATAAGATATACTTGGATATACAGACTTAAAGAAAAAAACCCTCATATATCTATTAATTACAATTTAAATTTTTTTTTTTCGAAAAAATCATTACATCATATGAATCTTTTAAAATTTTTTTTACGTGTTTCTGTGTCTTTAATATGAAAAGTATCTCATACAATCTATAAAAATAGAAGAAAAAAAAAAAAATCAAAATCTGTGAAAATAGGAAAAATACAAAACTGATTTTCTTTATTTCAGTATATACTGTTGTGGCGGTGCCCACTCAGTGGGACCCACATTTGAAAATAAATAAATAAAAAAAAAGAGGAAGAGAAGAAGAAAACATGGTGGGTCCCTCCGATATATGGGACCCACACAACTTGAAAATAAAAGAAGAGAAGAAAGTTTTTTTTCGGTGGATGCGATTTGTTTTTCGGTTGACGCGTAATTAACGCGTCCACTTCTCCTATAAATAGTAGATGATTCAGTTCATTTCAACACACCAACAAGAAGAATAAACACAGAAGAGAGAAAAATCTGTGTTTGAGAGGAAAATAGTTATCTAGTTTTAGGAAGGGTCCTAAAAAAAGAAGAGATAAGAAAGTTTTTTTTCGGTGGATGCGATTTTTTTCTGTTGAGCGCGTAATTAACGCGTCCCACTTCTCCATAAATTAGTAAGATGATCAGTTCATTCAAACACAGCCAAAACAAGAAGAAAATAAACCAGTTCATTTCAACACACCAACAAGAAGAATAAACACAGAAGAGAGAAAAATCTGTGTTTGAGAGGAAAATAGTTATCTAGTTTTAGGAAGGGTCCTAAAATTAGGATAGGGAAAAATAGTGAGGATAATTTGGGTGTTTTTTTTTTTGGAAACACTTTTGAGTGCCACTGTTTTGTATTACTCTCTTTGTGTACCTATTATTTTTAGTGGAAGAAATATTCAGAATTGGGTCCCGTGGACGTAGCCCTAAACAGTTGAGGGTGAACCACTTAAATTTTTGTGTGTCATATTTTTATTTTTCCGTTGCATAATTATTTTCGTAATTTTTATCACCGGGCCCTAACAAGTGATATCAGAGCTGAAGGTTTCAACAGATCCAGCCAGACAGATAGTGGTACCGGATCCGTGAATATATTTTAAAATAAATATACCACAACGATGAGAAAATTACGACGAGTCCATTGGTGCAGTCCATTCGAAAAGACGTTGCAAAATCAACCTAGTGATGAATAGTGAAATATTAACTCAAAATTGGTGGTGAACAGTACTATTGGTGTTACTATTGCTGAGCCCATCACTCTTTAGCCCATCACTATTCATGCATAGTACTATTTACAGTTTACGTATACTATTACTATTCCGTATACGGTCACTATTCACGTATACTACTAGTCACGTATATGGTTTCTGTTGGTGATAATATTCTGCACAAGTCAAAAATGGACGATAGAACAACAGACACAATGGTTAGACTCAACTCATCAAACTATGCAGTATGGAAATATAATGGAAAGATCTCGCTATGCTGCAAAGATCTCTTTGAAACGATGAAGTTGAAAGGAGTCAGGCCGAACTTCAATAAATGTAGACTGATGGAAAGTCAAGCTAATAGAAAAAAACAGTCGCGCCAAACTATCAGGCAGTCTGTTGAAATGGAGCCGTCATATAATCATATCCGCTCATTAAGAAAGAATGCGTTATTTCAATCTAAAAGAATGTTGGAGGACATGTAACGAGCAGTAAGAATGCCCCAGAACAAAAGCTTCTTTTTTAAATTAGAAAGCTTCTTTTTTAATTAGAAAGCTTGTAAATCTAAAGTACAGAGATGGCGAAAGTGCTTCAGATCACTTGGGCAAATTCCAAGAAATTTTGAACCAACTGACGACGTCAAAAATAATGTTAGACTACCAGTGCAGGCACTATTTTTATTAAGTTCCTTGTCGGACAGTTGGGAGACGCTGATTGTCACGCTCAGTAATGTGTCAGAGGGGAATCTGACCTTAACCACAGTTAAAGAAAGTATTCTGAATAAAGACACTACACGTAAGGAGAATGGTATGAGTAGCAACTCAGATGCACTCATTACAGTTACAAAAAGGAGGGAGAGAAGCAAAACCAGATACCCCAAAATCTAGACAAACGTGACAATTCACAGAGAAGATCCAAGTCAAGAAAAGGTGTCACTTGTTATCATTGTGGAAAGCCCGGTCACATCCAAAGGCACTGCAGAAAGTGGAAGAAGGAACAAGCCAAAGAAAATGATGAGGAAAAGAAAGACGATACGGAGGTAGCTTCAGTAGCTTACTTCAGTGCTTTGATGTGATGCATCGGTGATGTGACATCCTACTAATCGATGTCGTTGCATTAGCGAGTCTGACTAGTCGAGTCGGAATTTAGCGAGTCGAGTCGAGTCGGAACGAACTAGAACCCGGTTCGAGCCATAAAAATTAAATAAATAAAAGAATTGGACTTAATTGAATGAAACATAAAGATGTAGACTCAATTGAAATAAAAATATAAGGATTAGGACCTAATTGAAATAAAGTATAAAGTGTAGGTATTAAATGGTAAAATATTGAAAATTTAGGTACTATTTGGTAATTTTTTAAAATACTAGAAGATATATTTGGAGGTTACCCGAAAATTCCATTCACTTTACGTTCTCCATCTTCTCCTTTGTCTTCTTCTTTCTCTTTACCTTCTCTATCTTCTCCTAAATCTTCCTCCATTTTCTACCTTAACATTCAACCTTTCAAGCATCAAATTCAACCTATATCTCTATCCAAGTAAGTTGAATTTCAATTTCTTTCTTGAATTAATATAACTTTGCAATAATTAGTGGAGATTTTGGAATGATTATATAAGAATGATTATTTTAATGTATAGGAGAGGTGGAGCTCAAAGTGAGAAGAAAAAAGAAGCTTAAAAGATGTTTAAAGCTTGTTTAGTTGAAGGTTTGGTATTTTCTTTTAGTTTAACAAATTTTTCCTGGTATGAAATATTTAGTTGTGATGATTAGTGATAAGATATATTGCTGAATGGTGAGTAATAGGTCTGAGAATGTTGATTAAGCAATGATAATGCATTGAAAAATGAAATTGGAATATTGATTTCATGCTGAAGACAGTTTGTTGGAAAAACTGACCAGTAATTTCAACCTAAAATTTGAAAACCTGTTTTACCGATGGAATTAGGAAGTTGTAATAGAAAGTTATTGTTCCTTTTGTTTTAGTTGTCTATGAGTCTTGTGGAATTCACCCTATAAATTGGACTTGATAAATGAAAGATATGCCCAAAATAGTACGAATTTGGTGCAGGTTGGGAAATCAATAATCGGGTGGACTGGAAAGGTGTAACTTTTAACTTCAATTATTTGACATCTTTAACCAACATAGTTTCAGAGAGGTAATAGAATATAATATTTGTACCCTAATTTTAAGCTAAACGCATAGAATTTAGAATCACGAGCCTAAATTGGCCTTAAATAATTATTAAAGCAACACCAAGATAATATATTTAGCATACAGGATATATCGAACATGAACAAGGGAACAATATAGGTTCAACTCAGATTATACGCGTCGCGACTCGTTCATTCAGGTCACAGGTGGAGCCGGGAAGGGAGTGTTTACAAGGTGCTGGTAGTTGCGTTGATTTCTCATGCTTAGTCTCAGTGAGTGTTCCACTATCCCACAAATCTCTTTGGATTATTAGACTCTGCATGTTCATACATATTTCTTCAAAGAAGGGAATACTTTTTTCATCACTTACCCTCTGATATTATCAGCCATGTCAAGACTTTGGAATGGCACAATGTGAAAAAATTGCGGCATTGAACAAATGCCATCAAAAACCAATGCGGTTATGATCTCTGGTTGGAAGATGTGAAGATAACAGCTCCTACGGTAAATTTCAATCTGATCTCAAGTCCATTTGTCTTGATGAAAATTGGGTTATGCAAATCTGTTTGTCAACAGAACTTGGAAGCTTTCCAAAGGTAACCTAGTGTTCGGAAGAGGAAGAAAGTTCAACACCCTCTACTACACTCAGGCCAAAGTTTGCACAGGAGTGGTGAATGCAGTTGAAGATTCATCTGCTGAGTTGTAGCACAAATGACTTGGTCATTTGAGTGAGAAAGGAATGGAGATTCTCACCAAGAAGAAAATGCCTTTAAAAATATGCACTGATTGTTTGTCTGGTAAACAACATAGAGTTTCCTTTTAAAGATCCCCTTCTCCTTCTAGAAAGCCTGGTATTCTAGAATTGTTACACACTGATGTTTACTGAATGGGTGACAAATCCTTGAGTGGTTGCTCATATTACGTCAGCTTTATTGATGACCATTCTAGAAAGGTGTGGGCTTTACCATTAAATTCAAAAGACCAGGTGCTGGATATGTTTAAAGTCTTTCATGTCAGTGTCGAAAGACAAACGGGAAGAAAGTTGAAATGTGTTAGAGTTGATAATGGTGGTGAGTACAGAGGACCATTTGAGAAGTATTGCTCAGAACATGGCATCAGACTTCAGAAGACAGTTCCCAAAACTCCACAATAGAATGGAGTTGCAGAGAGAATGAACAAGACCATTATTGAAAGGGTTAGATGTATGCTCTCTCATGCCAAACTTCCGAAAACCTTTTGCGCTAAAGCAATGAGTACTGTAGTTTACTTGATCAACCTTTCACCTTCAACCTCCTTTAACGGAGATGTTTCAGAAAAGGTGTGGTCAGGGAAAAATATTTCTTATGATCATCTTAGAATATTTGGCTGCAGGGCTTTTGTTCATATTCCAAAAGATGAAAGATCCAAGCTTGATTCGAAGTCAAAACAGTGTATCTTTTTGGGTTATGGAAATGATAATCTTGGATATAGATTATGGGATCTAGTTGAAAAGAAGCTCATC